GGGCGGGAGGCGGGGGGGGGGGGGGGGGGGGGGGGGGGGGGGGGGGGGGGGGGGGGGGAGGGAGGGGGGGGGGGGGGGGGGGGGGGGGGGGGGGTGGGGGGGGGGGGGGGGGGGGGGGGGGGGGGGGGGGGGGGGGGGGGGGGGGGGGGGGGGGGGTGGGGGGGGGGGGTGGGGGGGGGGGGGGGGGGGGGGGGGGGGGGGGGAAGGAAAGTTGGGGAATCGGCAGGAAATGGATGGATTTTTCTAAACAAAGGGTTACTCCTAAGAGTATATGTATATATATTTGTATATATGTATATATTTGTGTGTGTATATATAGATATATATAGATTTTTGTGTGTACATACGTATGTATATTTTTGTGTATACATCTGCATATTTTTGTGAAAATATGCATATTTATATATACACATATATTGGCTGTTATGTGTGCAGCGCGCATCCCAAGGGTGTTTGCGCGAGGGAGTCGCAGCTTCAGCGGCTCCAGGCTTTTTTTAGCCAGGAAGATCCTGCCCTTCAGGAGGAAGTGACGGCAGCAGCACGCGAGTTGCAGTCTGTGGAGGGAGCGGCTCACCTCGCTGGCTCCTCGAAATTGCAGTTTTTGGACAAGCTCATGTGTCATTTGCACTTCTTGAACTGTAAATACGTCCCAGCGTATGAGGTGAGGGAGAGAGAATGGAGGGGGGGAAGAAGAGGGAATTACGATGGGGAGGGGTATTTCATGGCGTTTTTTGTACGTGTTGTTGTTTTTTTGCTGGTATCTTGAGTTTCGATCATGGATATGCAGTCTCATGAAGGGGATTGCGTCATGGGGATGGTGTGTGCCCTCGGGCGCTGGGGTGTCTGTACAGCGCGACTACATGGCGCACAAGAATGACGCGGCGACGTACGAATTTTACAAGCGACACGAGGAAGCTGTTTTGTCGGCTTTGGCGGGAGGTCGGAAGCCTCCACGACGACCAAAGAGGAGCGAGTTGATTGGCCTTTCAGAATACAGAGCGTTGTTGGAACGGGGTATGCCGCGACGTGATTTGACAACTGCACGAGATGATTCTTTTTTGAGGGAGGGTCTCTTTGCCGCGGAGCCTGTAATGCCGACGAAGGAAAGTTGCAATCCTGAACTGCAAGAGAGGAAGCGTGGGCATGGCGAGGATGCCTGCGCCTTGGAGGCGGAGGAGGAAGGGCAGGCAGAGAAGAGCGTGACAGAAGATGGCAAAGAGGAAGACGACGAGGAGGCAATGTCTGTGAGGGCTCCCGAGGAACTGCCTACTAGAAGCAAGGCGGAACGGCGATTGCGACGGCACTTGATCGTAGATGAGGAGGACGATGACTTGGTGATGCAGACGGAGCCGTCCACAGCAGCAGCGGGAGGAGAGGCAGCAGTTGGAGAAACAGCGGCTGCTGCATCTTCTGAAGAAGATAGAAAGGGGTCTTTTGCATCGCTTGCCTCGTCGGAGGCAGGGGGAACGGCCGCTGCAGCCACAGTTGCAGCAGCAGCAGCTGTCGCTGCTGCAACAGGTGCAGGGGGCTTACCCAACGCGGCATCCTCCTGTCAACAGTCTTCAGAGGCGAAGCGTGAGGGGGAAGATCGAAGCAACCTCCCCACGGCTTGCTGCACGGGCAGTCCAGCGAGTCACAAAGACCTCGTCGAGACGGGAGAAATCCTCTACGTGCAGCCTGTAAAGACTGAAGAGGAAACTCCTCCGACGGAGGCTGGACTGGATCTCGCAGGTGCAGCAGCGAATTTCTCGCGGGAGGAAGCAAAGCAGCAAGCCTCTTCGCCATCGAGTGAAGCGGGGAGCGATGCTAGGAGCAACGGCAACCCAAGCAAGCAAGCCGCAGCTAAGATGGACGCAGCCAACACGCCGAGGATTCAAAGACTCCTCATCTTCACGCAGTTTCAGCTCGTGTTAGATGAATTGGAGGCATACTGCAAATTTCGGGGATGGCGATATCTCAGGTGAGGAAGAGATTGTAGAGACCACGTTCTTTCGCTTTTTTTTTTGAAAAAAAGTGAAGAGAGAGGCTGACGAGAGAAAGAGAAAGAGAGAAAGAAATTAGGACGGATGTTCGCTTGGAGGGTCGCGTGAAAAGCGGTAGCTGCAGGAGTTGGTGGTGTTTGTGTATTTGTGTGTGTCAATATTGTGTGGGGGGTGTCTGTGTGTATTATTCGCGGCATGCGCATTTGCCGCGTTGAGGAACTGTGGAGAGGCATTTTCGGAGGGAGGGGCGGGGTGTATGGACAGCAGCAGAAGGGTGCGTGGTGGCGTGCTGTTGCCTTCTTTCAGGCTGGATGGCTCGACGAATAAGTTTGTGCGGGAGCTGGACATAAGGGATTTTAACAATGATAACACGTGTTATTTTGTATATTTGATTTCCACAAGGGCTGGTGGTCTCGGGATTAATCTGACGGCAGCAAATCACGTCGTGATCTACGATCACGACTGGAATCCATTCATCGACCTTCAAGCTGTTGACAGGTGCGTCTTTTCTGGCTTAATTTTCATTAATGTGCGGGGTGTGTGGCTTCTGTGTCTGTTTCTGATGTAGAAGATCTTGCCTCTCGCTTCTGAATATGTCTCGCTTTCCGCTCTTTGAAATTTCGTCGTGCATGCGCGCGGGAGGGGGAATATGTGTAGGTAGATGCAGGAGTCTATGTCTGTAATTTTGAACGCAAGTGTATATGTATGTGTACGTGTATATTTATATTTCTATATATTTATATATATTTATTTATATTTATATTTATGTGTGAATGTATGTATGTCGCCTCAGGGCACATCGTATCGGGCAGCAGCGCGAGGTTCACGTATGGTCGCTAGTGAGTGAATGGACGGTTGAAGAACGCATGGCGTTTCGGAGGGAGCAGAAACTGCGCTTGGATAAATTGTTAGTGCAGCAACAAATTGAGGCTGAGGCTGAGGCTCTTGACGGGGAGGATGGCGAAGACATCAAGGAGCATCGTTCGGAGAAGATTTCGACGGATGAAGTGCGGAAGTTGATGCTTCATGGCAAGAAGGCCATCGTGGTGAGCGTCGTCTCTTTGCCGAGTTCATCTTGCCATTGTGTGCCGCGTCGTGGGGGTGTGCTCTTCTCAGAGTGTCTTGGAAATCCTCTCTCGTTTTTCTGCGGGAAGGAGAAGGGGAAAGAAGAGGGACGGGAGGGGAAAGAAGGGCTCATTAGAGCGCGCCAACGGGGTGTCGCGCGTGTCAGCCTTCCGATGTTTGTCTTTCTTCCTTCCCTTCGTCCTGTTTCCTTCTTCTACAGACGTAGGAGAGGCGTTATTTTCTGCGTGTGTGTGGATGTGTATATGGGTGCATATGTGTATATGGGTGCATATGTGTATATGTATATGTGTATATGTGTGTATGTATGCGTGTCTGTATGTGGATGTGGATTTTGTGTGTTTATATGTATGTTTATGTGTATGTGTACGTGTGGGCTGCCTGGCTGTCTGCAGCAAGTGGCATCTACAGGCACTGAAGACATCTCGAGTCGAGCGCTGGAGGATCTTGTGATGCGTCCAAGGCAGCCGTTGCCTGTGCTGGGCGAAGATGAGGAGCCGCTGGTTGCTGGCGTTTCTGCGGCTTTTGAGGAGGACGTCGACGAGAAGAATCTCGTGGATATCACGGAAGTGATGGACGAAGAAGCAGAAGAGCGACAGAATCAGCAGCAGTTGGTGGAGGATGCAGAGGATGCTGCTGGAGGCGCCGACGGTCCATTCGAAGGTTCAGGAGGGAAGTGCATGACAGAAGGAGAGGATGCGAAGCAGAGCGGCAGCAGCTCTCCTTGCATTGCAGAAGACGAGAATTCGGGAGACACTTGCTCCGAGGCAGCAGCCTCCTCTGCTCCTTCTGCGAAAGGCAGCCTCGAGGCGGAGCTGCACAGCGCTGGCGTTCTTTGGCGATCGGGCAGAGAGCGCAAGAAGCCAGTTGCGCTGTATGTTCCTCAGGAGTTCACGCAGCGGTAGGCAATTGCATGCGTGCGTGTGTGGGTTCTCTAGTTTGCGCGAGCCTGTGCTTCCGTGGCTGCTGCTGCCTCCTCGTCTTCGAAAACGGCCTCTTGCCGACGAGCGAGAGGCTGCGACTCGGCAATTTCGCTTTTGCCTGTCGGTTAGACTGTGCGCGCGGCGTGCCTGTGTGGGGAAGGCAGTGGACTTGTGTGTCTGTGTTTATGTGGTTTCAAGTTCAGTTGCTTGTGCTGCGTGTTGGTGGAAGGAGGGGGGGGGAATAAGGGGGTTAAGGAGTCTTGTCTAGCGTCGCGGAGACGTCGGGGGGGGGGAGACGGGGACGCTAGAAAGTTGTCGATTTTTTTTCGAGAAGGCAGTCGAATAAACTTATTTCAGGGAAGGGGAAAAGGAGGCGGTGGGAGCTTTTGCGCCATGTGTGTCTGTGGCTGTTGTGTGCATTGTGCGAGTTGGTGCGTCAGTGTTTTGGATGTGGAGTGCGGTGGAGGCGAGCTTTCTGTGCGTTTGCTCGTGCGTTTTGTGTTTGGTTGGCGTGCGCCTTCAGGGAGGAGCGGCGAAAGCTGCGACACGAGACGCGGTGTTTCGTCTGTGGGAACGGAAAGGATCACGTGCAGACGTCGGTTGATCGCGAAGGCAATCCAGTGGAAGTTGCGTACGGCGATTTGGTGTGCTGCAGCGGGTGCCCAAAGGCATATCACCGATGTTGCGAAGGTTTGGCAAAGGACGTGAAGAAGAGTTGGCGATGCCGATGGCACGAGTGTTGTTTGTGCTTTCGGAAGACTTCGCAGTGCGGCAACATGCTGATCCACTGCGCTCGCTGCCCGACGTCGTTCTGCTACGACTGTTTTCCCCCCGACTACTGCCGGTACAACGTGGGCGAAGACTACTACATGCAGCTGCGGCAGCGCGGCATGATGGTGACTCCGCAGAACTGGATCCTGCTGCTTTGCTCCAAGTGCAAGGCTGTGGAGGAGCAGCAGACGAGGCGTCGCCTGACGAAGGAGGAGAAAGACCACGAGAAGCTGATGCAGCAGGAGCTGCGTCAGCAGCAGCGGCAGCTGCACCAGGATGGCGCGCGACTGCGTTTGGAGCGCGACGAAGTCAAGCTGCTGCAGCGGCAGAGGGCGGAGGAGGAGCGCCGCTGGTTCGACCACAAGCAGGCGATCGACAGACTCGACGAGGCTGCGGAGATCGCTCTGCGGCAGGCGTACCAGCGGCTTTTTCCTGCAGTCTTTCTTGCGGAGATCGAGAAGAGGACGGCAGCGGCGAAGGCGGCGCAGCGAGCCTCTCGCGAGGCGGCAGTTGCGGAGGCGATGAGCGCAGTCGCTGCAGCTGGCGCAAGCACAGGAGCGGAGAGCCAGGCAGCTCTGGCGACGGCAGCCGCTGCGGCTATCAAGAAGGCTTCAAAGAAGCCTACGAATCAGCTGGCGAACATGAAGCTCCCTTCGCAGAGTCTCGGCGTCTGCGACAACTGCCGCTTCCCCTGCCACGGCGTGAAAGACTACCCTGGCTCCTGCTGCTTTCCAGACGAAGTCATTCAGAAGTTCGTGGCGCGCTCTAGACCTCTCTCGCAGTCTGGCGCAGACGCGGTGGGCGTGGGAGCCGGAGGCAGCAGCTGCAACAGCAGCGGCAGCGGCGCGCACAACGACGCGAGCAACGACGCAAACACCAAGAGTGGGGAGTGTCTGCAGGAAGGGCTCATGGAAATCGACGTGACGGCTTCCGGAGAAACGGGCGGAAGGGGGGTGGCTTGTGGGGGAAAGCAGGCGGCTGAGGCGGCTGCGGCTTCTCTGAATGCTCCTTCGAGCGCCTTGCATGCGCTCGCCAGTTCTGCTGCTCTCCTGCAAAGCCCATTCGGCAGCGAGCACCTCCTGGGAGCAGCAGCGGGGGGGCCTAACGACCAGAAAGTGAAGTACATGCAGCGGCAAGTCTGCGCTGCCTGCCATGAGTGGCGCATTGGGAAACGCTCCCACACGCGGAAACACTGCCTCTCCCTCACGCCAGAGCAGCTGCAGGAGGTGAGCAGAGAAAGGAGAGCCTTTCGCAGAATTCACAGAAAAAGAAACGCCCTCTAGAGGTCTCGTCAGGTGCATGCACGGCTGTAGAGGGAGGGCGGCACGTAGATGTAGACAGCTGCTAGTTCGCGGATTTTTCGGCGTCTGTGCTTCCTCCCCGCCCTCCTTCCTCCTCCCAGTTCCGGAAGACTAGTGCTCTCCGTGTATTCTGCTCTTTCTCGCTAGGCGCCCTCCGGCAGGCTGGCAACGGGGGGGAGTCGAGTTGCATGCTCCCACGCTTCTGCACAGCGCTAGATCGTGCGTAGGAGGTGACGCTTCGTAGAAACGCGCTAGATCGTGCATAGGAGGTGGCGCTTTTTAGAAACGCGCTAGATCGTGCGTAGGAGGTGACGCTTCGTAGAAACGCTGGCCATGCATCTTTTTCTTCCTCTCGGTGCTGCGCTGCTCTTCAGTATGACGACAGGAGAGCTAAGATGCGCCTTGTCGCCGAGTTGCTCCTGGCGAAAGACCCCATTCCAGATTCGCACTCCGGAGCTTACGCTTCAGCCTCCCCCCAGAGGCTCAAAGCCTTCTTTCAGCAGTACCAGGAGTCGGTGCGTTTTATAACTTAGCGTGCAACTTGGTGCAGCCTAACCTAATTTCCTTTGCCAAACGTCAAACTACGTCTCCCTCCATATATGTATATAGATATGTATATCTGGATATGTATATATAGAAATATATACATGTATATATATGTACATATACATGGAGGAGCACCTATAAAAGTAGAGAGGCTGCTCAGTCTTTAAAGGCCTTAAAAACTGTGGAGGAGCACTTAGCATGTTGTAGGAGGAAATGCGCAGACTTGACATCCTGAAAGGCTTTTTCTTGGGGTATATGTGTGTGCATGCGGTATATATATTTGTATTTATATATATTTTATATATATTTATATTTATATATTTATCTGCATGCAGGCGGACAAGATATTGGAGGAGTGCATGGTGGCTGCAGGGCTTCAGCACGCCGTTGCTTCTCGCTTTGCCTCGGGCAGAAAGGGAGTCTTAGGATCCTCTCCTGCAACGCAGGGTGGAAGTGCTGCTACAGCTCCAGGAGCTCAGCATGCTGCGTTGTCTTCGCTCAGTGCTGTCTCTTCGAATAAAGATCGCATCTCGATGATTTTGAATCGGAGCAAGGAGCTGCTGCTGCTCAAGCGGCAGACGGAAATGCAGGTCCTTGCGACGCTGTCGGCTGCGAACGGGAGGGGGTCTGCGTCTTCAACTGTGGCGGCGAGTTTGCCGAGCGAGAAGCAGCTGCTTCTCAGCGGCTCTGGCGAGGCGGAGCGATCTCACATGACACCTTCTTCAGATACGACCAGCGAAGTGGAGGTGCTCGGCGGAGGGGGAGGCACACGGGGATCTCCGCTGGCAGGAGTTGCATCTTCTGGAGGGGGGAATTTAACGAATTGCGTGATGAGCGGCAGTAGCAGTCTCCCGGGAGGGGCGACCCCTACTACTGCTGCTTCTGCAGCAGCAGCTGCTGCTGCTGTGGGTGCTTCTGGCAAGCGGCACAGCCTCGAAGGGTCCAGCAGTGTGGCGGCTAGCCGCGCAGCTGGCGCTGCGGGAGCGCTTTCGGTGATGACAACGAAGCGGCAACGAAAGGCTGCGCCTTCTCCCAAGACAGCAGACGCAGTGGTCGGTGGAACCGCGGGTGTAAGCGGTGCAGAAACGGGGTATTTGGCATCTGCAAGTGGGCATCTGGCCGCTTCTGCAACGGCGGCGGCGATTAAGCAAAAGTCTATCATCGATTTTTTTACTTCGAGGAACAGAGCAGCCGCGTCGGGAGCCAGCGGCGCGAAGCAGCCGATGTTTTTGACAGCCTTTTCTGCGGGGAAGGGATCTCCTCGACCTGGAGGGGGGGGGGGAGCTCCTGCATGCACAGGGTTCACACCGTGGAGCGCCAAACAGCCTTCAGATACGGAGAGTGACTGATTGCACACAGCCTTTTCTCTGGTTTGTCCTTGCGCGAGGAGGACTGAGAAAGAAGCGCAAGCGCATTGTTCAGTTCTCCCTTCATGCAGGGCGTGCTCTCTCCGTGTCTGCTCTGCCCTGTCTGTCTCTTCCTTCCTCTCTCTGAGGAGGAGGAGCAGCAGTCAGTGCTGCACCGTGTCAGTTACCACAGGCCCTATGTGCCTGGCTGTTAAAACCTACGTATCATGAGCGCTACAAGTTTCGGCGTGTTTATGCGCGCATTGTGCTGATACTGGTCGCCGAAGGAAGGGACTTGTGCTGCACCTGTCCATGTGTGTTTTCCGGGAAGAGGATGCAAGAGAGTTGTTAGGTGCTCGCTGCTCGCTTGCTGCTGCCCACACACGCCTCGTTTCGAGAGGCTGCTACTGCCTCTCCAGGCAACGCGGTAATAATCACTCGATGATGGCTGAGCTGGCCTGCGTAAGAAGGACTACTTTTCTTGCGTGTTTCTGGAGGCTGTCATCTGAAGGGAACGAGTCTCTTGTGAGGCTAGTCGGGTTTCAAAATAGGCAGGCAGGCAGGCAGACCGCCCCTTCCTTCCTTCCTCCCCCCCGCAGCTGTGCGCAGATAGAGATAGCGGCGGCAGGAGCATGGGCTGGTGTTTGCATTAGCGTTGTGCTTTTGCTTAGCCTTTCTTGTGCTGGGAAGCGTTGGAAGAAGTGCTAGCACTGCCCGAGTAGTCTCTGGGCAGCAGTCAACCTTAGCCAGTGGGCTGAAAAGCACGCATTCACATTTTCCACTGGTAGGCTAGTGGAAGAACATGAGCAGGGTCTGGCAGTGACAAGATTTCTGCAGCGGCAGTTAGGTTTCGATTTTCTCAGCGCGGCACCGTGGCTTGGTGGGAACGGACGGGGGAAGCACTACTTGACTACGCTCTGCTGCGTCATGTTGAGCAGCTTGATTTAAGATCCTGTCGAATAGTAGACTGTATTCTTGTCGACCACGACAGAGCCTGAAAGAAGGAAGGACGAAAGGGCGACGTCCGGCCTACGCTAGCTGCTAGTGGGTTGTAGGAGTGTGTACGTCTTCTCCTACTTCGTATGTACACCTGGCTGCTCTGCTTTCTCCCACGTCTTATTTGTAGCGCAGGGTATGCCTTGAGTGCCGGTTGTGTAGGCAGGAACGGCCATGTGTAGTCAGTCTCCGGGCCCTCTCCCCGCAGCAGCAGTTCAAGTTGGTACGAATTTTGCAGTCGTTGAAACAAGGCTTGTTCCCGGGCTCTATGGAATGGAGGATATTGACGAGTTTCTGGTGTGGGTTTGTGGTGCCCCCGTGGGCAGCGTAGGGGCAAGACGCACTCTGCTTACATCGACCGCGATTCGGCGCAGTCAGCCTCTGAGGAACTCGAGCGCGGTGCGCAGACACCCGAGAAGCTCATCCTTGAGTCACGTTTGGGGTATTTAGAGCCCATGTGCCGTGACACAGGGTGCGCTGGAAGAAGGTTTTCCTCTCCGGAGAGCGCTGTAGATGATGCTATTTTTCCCTTGATCCTGTAGGCCCTAGCGGCACCACTGGAAACACTTGACTTCGATATATGCATACATACAGGTAGCCGTTGCAACCTTTGAAACTCGCATCGTCTAACGCCCCTCAACCAGTGTACCAGCACGTGTGTGCAAGTTCTGCACGACTAACGGCTGGCTCGAAGGCTACTTGCGATCATGGCGGACAGCGAGCTCTCTTGAGGGAGGAGTGAATTCTGAAAAGTCGCACTGCTGGAGAGACAGAAGGAGCACTCTGTGGGCCCTCCAGCTTGCACAGCTTGACTTGCTGGCAGGCTTGTTGTTGGATTCCCTGTTTTGCATCACCTACCTTACACGTTTGAGGGACGCCGCAAGAGTAACTACGGAGAACGATTTAAGCATGATTTTCCTGTGGGCTTCTCAGCCCCTGCTGGAGGCGTATGAATTTTACTGCGAAGTATTTTCAATTCTTGTTGGAAACTTGCAGACCCCTTGGGAGAACGGCGTCTTCAACTGTCACGGCAAAGGCACTCGGCGCAAGGGTGATGGAGTGGAAAGGATGGCGTGCAGACTGATGGTGCTTGGCTGAGCAAGTAGCTTTCCAGGGATCCGACTAGTTGCTCTGCTCAGAAAGATCTTTTTGAAAGCCTACTCGTTGTGCGATAGCCCAGCCATGATTATTTGCTCCCAGCTTGCCACTCATTTTGCATTATTGCCATTAGCAACAGCACTCTTCTGAGCAGTGACCGCATATGCTCTATTGCACACGTGTCGGCAGAGCTTGCATCGATGCTTTTCCCGAAACACAACGCTCGATCTGAAAGCGTTAATTTGATTCTCCCCAAATCCTGTTGTTTGGTCCATCTAGACGCAGCGTTCACACTTTTGGTTCATTATGTTCTTTTAACATGACGTAAAAGAATATACCATATGGGAGTGCATCCGTTACAAAAGGATACATTTTAACAGTCATTTTCCAAAGGCTCAAAGTGTGAACCTCGATTTCGATATATGAATCAGCCGACACGCCGGAGGGCATACAATGAAACAGTTGTAATCCTCAGCGGCTGTTTGGCCAGCAACCCAGCTTTTTTATTTATCAATCTAGCAGTGCTTTACATGCTTCAACAGCAGAATTGTCAGCACGGTGTCGGCGGAAGGCTAGCAAGTTGTGGCAAGCTATACACATTACTTAAATTTGGCGAAACGGAAACCAGCTCAATTCGATTTCCTGAGTGGTAGCATGCATGTTACAACTCTACAGCATGCCCTATACGCAATCGAAAAGTGGTGCTGCCTGTACCCTACAGGCCCTTACGTGACTCATCCGAGAAGCAAACGACGATTCCATCTACCACAGGTTATAGAATTGGAAAAAAGCTGCTATGATATAGGTCGAGGAGACTAAGAATTCGATGAGGCGACGAATGCAACCACTCTTGCCAGTTCAATTCGGGACTGCTTTTCAAGCCTAGGTAGCGATGAGAAATTTTCGCTCACTGACTTATTGTATCGTCAGTGCAAATCTGCTTCCAGCCCTAATGATCAGTATTAGGAACGAATCTTTCCTTAGTTGTATATGCCATCTCCACTTAGTGCTTCAATCTTGCTTAAACACGCACTCAGGGAGTGTAAATCTAGGGTTGAGCCCTGTGACAAAAAATGTGTAGTACGAAGCTGTAGAAACCAATATTCTGCAAATTAGTAAAACTCAAGTGCATTCTTGTGTAGAATATATGCTAGATTTAGGCATTGTGCGGACAGTATTTTCGCTGGTGCAAGAAGTTCGTAATTCGCCTACGTGCACACAAACGAATTCATGGAATAGAAAGGTGTGCTCTAGACTAGAAGTTCCACGGCTAAGTAGCAGGAAGTCTTTATCCAGTTTGCTGGCTCGAGTGGCACTTCAGAGAGCGTACAAAACTGTAGCAGAAGGATGCACCGTGCACTAGACGCCATAACCTGTATTCCCTACTGACTCGCGCCCCAGTTGCCGGTGCCTAGAATGATACAGCACTGCATGCAACCACTCAGCATTCATCAGCCCTTTGTATGTGTGGAACTTAGCCACACGTAAGTGGAAAGAGCTGCCTTTCAATGCATAGATGCCCACAGTTGTCCCCTGTTCTTTGCAAGCTAATCTGCTCTGGGACCCCTCTGCAACCAAACCGGTGCGATACCAACTTCGCCTGGGGGCCCCTTTGTGATCACAATAAGATGATCAGATAGCCAACAAGTGATCATTGGCTTTTCAAACGCTGAACATTCTGTGGCACATTTTCCAAGGGTGCAAACAGGTGACCTGGTCAATTCACTCCTGCTGAGCCTCGGAACATCCTCCAAAGCTTGCACTCAATTACCCCTTTGATTTACTCTTATTCGTAAAAACCAATTTAATAAACGTGGTGCTTTCAGGCTAGTGCAGATGGTACATGGCCGCGCCATCAGCGGGCCACAGGGCTACCGTTGCCAGTAAGCAATTCATAGAGGCTGCAGCTACAATGCCGCGCAGAAAAAGGGAACTCTCCGCGTCTTTTGTCCCAAATGCTATTCTGCCGTAAAGAAGCAGTGGACTTTTAAGAGGCTTCCTCGGCGCCGTAGGAGTGCCTGTCGCGTTTCAACGCTGGCGGGCTACTGGCAACCGGTGAGGGTCCACAGCACAGCAACACTTTGGTATGCGCCAAACGCAATCCTCCTATGCTTGAAGGGCTGAATATATTAGATCAGCAGCTTCGGGTCTTTGAGGCCAAACAATATTCCAAGTATTTACCGGGGACTTTGCCAGTACTCCACAGGAACTTACATAGGCTTTAGTATACGTCGTAGTCATTACGAGCAATAACACGTACATGTTCAGGGGAATGCATCGAAAAGCACAAGCGAAAAGGGTTATGGTGGTGCTTTCACCGTAGGTGGTGCTCTGTATCCCCTACTGGCGAGAATTTTTCGAGCAGTGACTCCGTACATGTAGCCATCAATATGATGTACCCACCGAGACACAGCAAACGGAGAGACCCCTGGACGGCCACGTACGTCAACTGGGTAGAAACCTGCAGCTGGGCCTGTACGGCTTTCAGAAATAAAAAGTACCTCTTTTTACCAAAGCCTTCCCTGACATTCCGTTTACGCGTTGACCATCAGTGCGGGTCATCTCCGTTTAGGGTGCAGGCAAGAACTCTCAGGCCTAGTCGCTTTATGAATGAGGCACGCCAGCAGAAGCTACTACTGCTGAAAAGGGGAGAAGAACTCAATCACCACTCAATCAAACTTAAGAGCATGGCTGCACAGGCAAGACACACTGTCTTTATGCAATATATATACGTCAAGGTGGAAACAATTATCATGTTTGCTTTAACTACCGACTATCTTGAAGCTAATAGACTAGAATGTATATCGGCTACTGTGCATACTGCAAAAAGTCCTCGCTGCAGACAGACTACAAAACACTCAAAATACTTAGCCCCTAAAGTTGAATATCTTTTGTTACCCTGAGAATGGATTCCGTGAACCTACAGATTTTGCACTGACATTGTTCCGTAAATAGTAGATACTGGCATGAGACGGTAGCAGCATGGGGCACGGCCGGCACTCCGTTTGATGTGTATAACCATTGTTCATAAACATGCAGCCAGGTAGCAAAAAGCCAGCATGCTCTAGACCCGATCCACCCTCATTGCCAAGCGATCAGAGCTTGCCCCTAGATGAACAGGTTGGCAGCGAGCATCTGAACAAAGTGTGTGCAGCAACATCGCCACTTGCCGTAAACTTCAGCCAGTTGCAGTCATTCTAACACACATAGACGCGACGTCAGGTGCACATTCCCTCAGCCACACTGTCCATTTGCCATCTTGGTGCGTCCCATATATATCTACCATAGAGGATGGCAAGCACCATCGAGGTACATACCTGCCTTACCCATGTGTATTTCCCCTCATTTCTTTCATGAATTATCCTTTCCCGTTCTCGGTCGCTTGCAATGCTGTTTGGTTGTAAAATGCATAGGCCTCAGAAGATATTCATGTTGAGCTAGGAACGTGCGCTAAGGATGAAGTGGCTGCTCCGCCCCACAGAAAAACTACGCAGGATCTTACAGAGGAATTCAAAGATCTGAATGTGAGGCAATGAAGCCGTAAGGAGCGTCGAGAAAGGCTTCTCCTTCAAGTCATGTAACAGTATGGAATGGTCAAACTTCGTGACACTTCACATGGGCCAAGGCTGTAGGCTACTGAGCGGCATCACAGCGATGCTCATGACTCTGCACCATCAAATTTGCTATGCGACGACATAGTAGCCGTGAACTCAGCCACTATTATGGTGCCAATGCTGTTTTCAGTGGGCTAAAGTTGATGAGTTTAATTCATTCAAAGCAAAGTTAGAAGAAGAGGCACGTGAAGAAGACCGACTTCGGAAGCAGAAGCAGCTTCGAGATGCCCTCGAAGACCAACTTCGCGAACAAAAGTAGGATCAAAACACACTTAGCACCCCAAATGTAGCGCGTCGCTCGTATTACAGGCCTCTGGGGGGCTTACAGCTCCTCTGATAAGCTTTTGGAGAACATAGTCCACAGAAGTGCATCCGGAACGGAAGCAGAGTTATCAACTGATCATCTTGCGACTAACTGAAGGCTGGCCAAAGAACTACAAAAGCGAGAGATCCTCGAAAGCGCAAAGGAGCTGCAGAAGGATCTAGAGTTGTGGAAGTGAGTTTGTGTCTAGTCCACGACTATCTAGGTACTGTGTGATCGTGCATTGTTAAGAAAAAATTGAGATCAGCATGAGGTGCATTTTTTGATTCAGAAAGCAGGAACGTGAGAAGGAGGAAAAAGCCTATGTAAAAATGCTCCTTCAAAAGGAGGTCCTAGATGCACAAATGCAAGAGCGGCAGAAGTTGCAGGAAGTCAGTGACCGTAAACAGCAACAATAAACAAGGCTATCCCACGCTTGACAATCCCTTAGCAAGCATGCACCGTAGCTCTGTGAGTTGCCTGAAGCCTGCAGTAGTACACAGGAACTGAAACGGTACGAAAGCTATGAAAAAAAAACGAAACGTTGAGACTGATGCTGCACAGGAAACTATAGCGGAGCAGCTGAGGGAGAGTCGTGAGGTTCTTGAGCAAGTATCCCGAGATTTAGAGCTTGAAAAACGCAGGGCACAAAAAGCAAAAGTGCAGAAAGCTCGCGCTATGCAGGAAATCCTGGAGGTCCGCACAGACACGCGTGACTCATATAATACTTTGTGCGTCGATGATGATAATCAGCGAGCTTGCTCGCTGATTATCATCATCGACGCACAAAGTATTATATGAGTCACGCTGGCGTTTTCCTTATATTCGCCAAGCATGTTAGCTATCATTTGTTCGAGACCACAGCACCATTATCCATGTTTCCTCTTGGTCCGTGTTAGTCAAGCGCTAGTTGATAGCTTTGGCTACGGGCACGCGGGTGGCAACGCTTGTAGGTGACAGCTGCAGAGCGACGTCTGGCCGAGGCTCGTGCAAAGAAGGAACAAGAGGAGGATATGCGGCTTCTAAAGCTTAGTGTCCAGCTAGAGAAGGAGGCAGCGGAAAGGGTCAAACAGGAACGCCAAACATTATTGAACCTCCACCAAAGCCGAGCAGATAGAATCGCCATGCTGACAAGTGTTGACAAGGCAAGAAGCACCATCACACGTATTCCAATATACGCACCACGGCAAAGGGGAATTCTTGTACAGCTCAAGTTTGCCGAAAGGCTGATGCTCCATTGCCAGCGAAACACACCACGGAAGGCTATCTGCTGCCGAACAACTAAAATGGTTTGCGCCACAAGGCCGCCCCTCAAATGTTGCATTTACGATAGTGCACTGCTGCAGAGGTGTTGTAACAATTTTACAGAAAGAGCTGGCGACACAGAGTGCACTAAAGAGAGATGCCGCAGACCAAGCACGGCGGCAGGCGATGGAAAAGGAGGCCATGGCCAGAAAAAAGGCGGTACTTCAATAATGCACATTGCTAAAAGGTGTCAATTTGGGAGCATTTATTCTTTTGGCGCGACAGCCTTTTTTCTGTATGTGGGCCCCATCTTCAAGGCTACTGATTCAGGAGGGTATGGTAAAGCAGCGATTTTCTGGTGCTCGTGTGAGTCCATTGATGCGCGCTGCGCTCCATGCAGGAGCAGCTGGAAGTGCATGAATTCCTGAAGCTGCAGCGAAAGGAAAAGGAGCAGCAGAAGGAGTTGGAAAGACAGGAAAGACACCAATTGCAGAAGCTGCAAGAACTTGACGCGCAGGTGGGTAGGCAGGATGTCTCGCCTGTTTGGGGTGTGCATGAGATATCCTGTCGCTGATAAGGGCATAAGGGCATGAAAAGCTGCACGGAAGTGCGCGTATGACCCTGCTTGTTAATTGTGGCTGAAAACTGTAGGAGTACAAGGCAAAGGAAGAATTGGCTCAGCGCAACAGGAGAGCACTTCTCAAGAGCCAGCAAGAACTTCTTGTGAAACAGATGGAAGAACGCAAGCTCAACAAGGATATCTTGGTATATTTAGAGAAACCTTTTTGGGGAACCAGCGATCGCGGTGTTTTCCTTCCTATTCATGATTGTTGCAGCCAAGCTTTGAAGCCACAAAAGGACTGCCTAGGATGCGGTGTACTGCTGCTTCAGCAGGGAACAGCACTGCCACATCGCCTCCTGTTGTTCAATCACCTTGTTCATGTATGATGCAGGTTAGTCAGACAGAGATGAAGCTGAATCGCCGCCTTCTTGAAGAGGTGAACGACTACTTGCTGCACAAGACACAAGCCGCCCCTGCCGTAGAGTCCGACGAAGTCTAATGCGTTTTGGCAGCTCCAAATGCTCGAAAGTCGGACTTCCGAGAGACACACAAGACAAGAAAAGAGCGCAGCGGCCACACTTGCTTCGCAGCCTCTGTGAAAAGTCATACCCTCTGGCGCCCTTGTTTTGCTGCGCGGGGTGATATTGCATCGCATACATCCCGAAAGCCCAAGTACTGCAGACTCTTCTGCCTTCCCTGGTTTGCCGCCGATAGACAAAATACAAACTGACTGGCCGCTTTCATCCCTTGCCAGTGCCATTCATTCCTGAGTGCCTCTTGACACGCGGCGGCACTGCCTTCCCAGCGAAGAAGGCCCTGGCTGTAATGCCCACACCCAAAAGGCTTTAGTAGCAGTGCAGAGTGTACTTGGATTACAGTGCTCGCCAAACTACACAAAACGCTCAGCTCTAAAGAAGGGAGTGTAGTGTCAAGTTCTGCTGCGCGGCCTTTATCAGCCGATGCCGCCAAACGTGGCTGCCAACACAGGGCTTAGCAGTGGGCGTGGGGGTACGATAGTGGTGTCATCTGTTTTCGAAGTGCTTCTGGAAAACGCCGCTCTCCTCTCACCGCCTATGAGACTACCTGCGTTCTCACTTCCACCTGCCCCCCTCCTTCTCCCTTCGCCTAGGCTTCTATTACTCTCCCTAGCAGTTGGTGCGCGTCTGTGTGCACTGAAGGCCATGCATGCACTTTAATTCTTTGCAAAGTGTTGTCAAAGCTTATGGAGGCTGTTGGGCTCTAAAGTGTGTCCCTCATGGGTGGCAAATAATCGCAAGACTAAGTTTAAGGACGCGCATTCATTTACTGGGCAGAACGTAGGGAGCAGAACGTTCTTAAACACAAAGCCTAGCCCACGAGACGATCCTGCCTCACTGGGTGTCGCCGTGTCTGGAGGTGAGGGAAGTGTACCGACTGGTCAGCATGTTCATGCGAGACAGTTTGTAGTGTCGATGGGTGTTGCCAAGAGAGTCTATGAGCCCCTCCACATTAGGAGGCGGTGGAATGCGCGAGAAGTCGAGGGGCTTAATGGTCTTCTTGCGTATGGAAACCGACGCTTCTGACTCTCCGTTGAGCCGCTTGCTATCCGGAGCCTCTTCTAGAGAAGCTGCCGCGGGAGCTGGTGGGCTTGTTGGGGGGTAGAGGAAGACAGTAGGACCCTTTTCAGGATCTTGAGAAGCGACATATTCCCACACACTGGGGAGGAGAGCAGCTGTTTCTCTGGGAGAGCGCTTCAGCTCTTCCTCCTGCGGCGCGAAGATCTCCTTCACCGTTGCAGCAGCGATTTGCACTTCCAGCTTTGCACCAGCTGCACCAGACGGTGACTGAGGAGTCTCCCCTTCCACTGCCTTCGGAATGCTTCCACGCGGAGCCTCAGGGGGCGGCGGGGGAATGCCTTTGAAGGCGAGGCGCGCCTCCTCGAGAGCGCGCTCCGCCTTCGCGTCTTGAAGGGCCATTTTTTGGATGACTTTGTTCGTCGCCTCAACAGCGTCGATCAGCCTGCGCTCGTCTTGGAGAGCTCCCGCCTCTGCGGCAGCCAGGAGAACACCTGCCCGCACTTCCTTTTCGAATTGCTGTCTCTCCTCGTGGAGGTAGTTGTGCTTGGCGGCTTCTAAGTCTTCCAGCTCCTCCCTGGAGAACTGGGGGGGGGCGCCTGAAGCTCCCAGAACGACGAAGCTGCTCTTGTTCTCGGCTGTCACGGCGCGCCTTCGCTCGGCTGTATCGACGTAGAAGAAGGACTTAAACAAAGGCAGAGGGGCGTGGTTTCCCTCTTCGTCATGCAGCAATTGCGACACACTCACGAACTCCCCAGGAGCCGTTCCTGGGAGCCCAGGAATGCGGTAGATCATCGTCCTTTCGGCGGCGTTACCGTCCTCTCGTGCATGCAGTTCGAGCGTTTCGCTGACAACAGACTCGTCTTCCTCGAAGTCTAAGTCTTGCTGAGCCTTCCGCTCGTTCACAAGCGCCTGCTCGCGCGCGACTGCCGCTCGTCTCTGCCGCGCTTCCCTGCTCCTGACTGGAATGGCTTTGAGGGGATCGTCTAGCATGAGTAGCGGCAAATACGCCGAAGGCATGACACCAGGGGGAGGCAGATATGCCATGTCTGCAACCACGGTGCCTGGGAAAAGCTGGCTGCCTTGGAGAGCCGCTTCCTGCATTTGCTGCGCATGCGCATGGGCCTGCTGGAGAGCTAGCGCCGCGTCGTTAATGACGCAGCCGTCGACGCCTGCCAGCATGAATTTCGCAAGTGTGCTTTCCGCGTGGGTGCTCGTGACATCCTTGACCTTTGCCTGCGCAGCGGCTTGCGCTTTGAGGTGATTCACGCGCTTTCGCAGACGCTCGTTCCTCTCCTGGAGCTCCTTCAGACGCTTCTCCGCAGCCTCGCGGCTCTGCTGCTGCCGCCGTGTCGCCTCTTCAAGCGTCTTCTTCTGCGCAAGCTCCTGCGCCTCGAGGTTCTTCGCCGCTTGAACGACAGTGTGCTGCGCAGTATGCGCGTATCTATGCAGAACTGAGAGCTCGGGGAGCTCCCCTTTCGCGCGGCAAGACTGCAAGTAGGCATGCGCCTCGGAGAAAGCCACGTAAGCCTCATCCCACACGCCGAGGCAGTCTCGCACAAGATCGAGCCGACCGTTGGCTACCCACTCTTCGAACAAGCTCCACCGTCCGTTGAAGAGCAGCACACGCATGAGCGACGCTGCCAGCGGAGCGCAGTCCACGTGCAAAGCCTCCCTCGCTGTCCGTTCCACGTATTTCATGAACACTTCTGCATGCTGGAGGGATCTGTCGAAGATGGCATCTCGCACCGTGCCGCCTACCCACTGCCCGAGGTAGAGCTGCGCCAGCAGCAAGTTGCATGCGGCATACAGCCAGTGCTCCGTTCCCAGAACCACTTCAATGCTTTTGATCAAGGAGCCCACGTCGACAGTCCACTGAGGCGTGGTTGGGAAGTTGAACTTGCTCTGCAAGTCGAGGTAGAGCCGCTCGAAGTAGTCTTCTGCGCCAACGGGCATGTCGTCGTCCGTGAACCGTCCTTCGCAGGAGGCACACAGCCAGACACCGCTGGAACCGCGCTGGCAGTACATGCGTGGAGGCAGATCTGCAGCGGCAGCAGCAGCCGCTGCTGCTCCGGCAGGCTCAGCAGAAGGCGAGGAAGAAGTCTCCGCCTCCTCCCCCTCGCACAACGGAAAACGCTCAGTGCGCTCCTCTTCAGAGGACTCCCCTGGATACCACTCTGTGCTTCGACTCGCCATTCCATTCATGGCGAAGATCGACAGCCTCAGCTGGCTCCCCGATCCTGCCGTCTTGATGTGCGCTGCGCAGGGCTTGCTGGTGCTTTCGCTTGCATCGCTATCCGAATGCTCGCCTTGAGAGCGATCGCCGTCGCTCAGAGAAGCAGCGTCCGAAATGTCTGCACAGCCTCCCTGCGCGCCTTCGTCGCCGGCTAAGGATCCTTCGCCCTCCCCCCTGCCTCCTGCTTCGCTCTCTGCCTCGGCTTTGGAATCTTCTTCAAAGGCGCCCTCGGCGCCTTCCAGCTCGGCGCATGCGCATGCCTCTTCCCCCGCAGCCTCGCTGGATGCATACGCCGAGTTCGCTGCCTCGTCGTCGTCGCTGGACTGCATGGGCGCCTTGCCGTCATCATCGGAAGCGTGGGCAGACGTGTCCTCTCCCTCCGTTCCGTCAGGAGAAGGTTCCTCGAGCTGCGGAGCCTTCACTGCGTCTTTTTTGGAGGGCTTCATGTCACAAGCCGTGGCGTTCAAGTGGCCTTTCGGAGAGCTCTCCGGGGAGGGGGCAGGAGGCGGGAGGGTTGCTGCGCTCTCGCCTGTCGCAGAGTCTACGATCTTCAGCTTTATGGGACGGCAGGTTGGGCACAACATGCGTCTTGCCTTGTCTTCCCCAGAGATGCAGCGTGGGCACTTGCAGGAGAAGCATTTCGTCTGCTGGAGCCGCTTGCTGCGGAACGACGCGGGAGCGTAAAGCTGGTCGATATACGTCATCGCAATGACGTCGCCTGGCGCGATGTCGCGAGTTGCAAAGTACACCAGAAGGCCGTCCAAGTTGCGGTAAGTGACGTTTGGCTCGCAGGAGTGATTGACTTTGGCGGCTTTCGGGTAGATCCCCCAGCGCGCTTGCGAGGGGATGCCGTGGGCGTTTCTTTTGACCTTCGCGAAAAACGTTTTGAACGATCGCGCCAAGTCGACGCGCTTGTGTGCTCTCGCCAAAAGAATACACCACAAAGACTCTGCTTCCGTCAAGTCGAACTGGAACCCTTGGAGCGTCTCCATCGCCGCTTGTTGGCTCTCGGAGAGCTCCGTGAAAGCCGTCCACATCGACTCAGACTCGATGTCGCAGGTGAGCAGCGGCAATTCAACGAAGACTACTTGGCCCTTCTTTATGTGAGTGCTCGCGAAGAGGCCTTGACCTCCCACGCGGGTGTCTTCGCGCGTTTCTACCATGGTGTCTGCGAAGGCTGCCAGCTTGTCGCGTGACTTTCTGCACATTTCAAGGATCTCGGGGATGCACAGTTCGGCGCCAGTGGGAGCAGAAGTCTTAGGAGCCTCCTGCGGGGAGCGAGGAGGGGGGGCTTCTTCCTGCTCTCGAGGAGCTCGTGGCGTGGCGGGGTGAAACATCTCTTCACAGATTTTGCCAAAATACGCATCCACGGGAGGGACGTCCACTGGATGGAGCGCCCCCTTTTCAGCCTGCTCCTTCGACCAGACGTATGTGCCCATGGTGTAAACGACGGGCTTGTTGAGGGCGTCGTATATTGCCTTGTCCTCCTTCGTGTGAACTTCCGCGAGAGTAACCTGTCCAGGCTTGCGTCTTGGAATGCTGGCAATGTACTCTGCTGCCGCGCTGCTGCCCACGGCGTCCGCTTGGTTGGTGTGGTGGGCGCCGCTGGCAGCGCTCTCTTTGGAGTTGATAAGGGGCTCGAGGTAAATAGGCGGGGGTTTGTGCAATAACTCTCCATCGCGTCCAGTTCTGGGCGCTAGTGCTGCTGCTGCTCCATCGGAGGAAGTGAGGACGCTGCTCTGGCGGCTGAGAACATGAATGGGAGCACCGATTGGTCTGACGTGTTTGCTTCCGACGACTTCGACGTAATCCGGCGGAACCTCTGAATCCTCGCACGGTCTCTTGAGCAGTTTGCAAGACTCCCCACTGATGGCTCCCACGTTCTCACGCACGGGGCCAATGTACGCCCTCGTCACCTCCCGCACGGGAACAACCTGCGTGAAGGAAGGATGCTGCTTGCTGCCGAGGTATGAGGCTGCTTGGGAGCCGAGTTTGTGAGGGCGGGGTGTTACGAAGCGCTCGGCGGGCCGGTCCTGAGGTGTACTGGTGGGCGGCAGCGCTTCTTCCGCCTGGGCAAGGTTCTGTGGTGCAGGTTCCACTCCTAAGAGCTGCGCTGCTGTATATTCGGAGACGTGGCGGGCTGGAATGTTGAACTGCCGCAGGTTTTCGACTAGCTGTTCATACGCAATATTTCCGCTTCCGTCGGCTGGATTGGTCCATCGCTTGATGTGGTCCGGAGCAACAGCTGCAAAATTGCTGAGCCAGTTTTTCTCTTTATTCTCGTCCTCTTCGGACGCTCCGGAGACGGCGCGAGAAGCCGGGCCCTTGTCGTCTGCACCAGGGTCGGAGGCGCCAAGGACCCTGGCAACCAGCGAGCGCAGGCCAGACAGAGGCTTTCCAGTGGAATCCTCCATATTCAGGTTCGAAGTCTCCTATAATAGAGAAGAAACACCCGAATGAGCTGCAGAGAAGGCAGGGAAAAACCGAATTCTCGGGGGGCTAGGACCGTTTGCAACCGCCGCTGAAATGCGCATCGGCGGCGGCGCCGTCAGCAATGCAACAATTCGCTTTGCAGTGCCGAAAGCTCCGGTCTGGCCATAACGCAGAAACAGGCTCACGGAAGTAATCTTTCGTTGGGTGATGACCAATAAAAAGAGAAGTTGGGAAAAATCTGCCAGTCAACGTCGAAGGCAGCGAGCCTCCCTGCTAACTCACGCAGCAGCAGCTGACCGGCATCGGCTGCGATTCTTAAGCTGTGCTCAGTTTGGCGTATTTCGGAAATCCTCATGACCAAATCAGTGAGTTAGCCCTGTATAATCTGTTCTGGAAATTCGTTGAGGTCACTGAGCTTATTCCAGATCACTTCAGAATATTACATCTGCTGGTGTCGGAGGCGCTAGCAGCGGCAAGAAACCGATGCAGTCCCCTGCATACCACCTTTCGCAGTCGAATCCCCTCCAAGGTTACAGCCAGTTTTTCAAGAAAAAACGGCCGCCACCTATTTCGTTCCTATTTGAAATCATTCTCTCTTTTACCTCTTGATATTCTCTGTGCAAGCCTTAGCGCCGGCATCGCTGGCAAAACAACACACCGATTCTCAAGGTCACACGCACTCAAGAAAAAGTCCATAAAGATTTTCACCGCAAGACCGCTTATTTTACCCAGCACGTGTATCGACGCGTTGTCGTCAATCAGATCTTGCGGATATTCAGCAAAAATGAACAGTGCATTAGTACTCTTGAAGCCCTCCATGCATGAGATGAGAAAAGATTCTACCGAAAGCGTGTAGTTTGATTGGTTCCCCCGCAAAAAAGAACTTGGGTGGGGATATAGAGAGAAAAATTTACGAGTACATCCCTGCTAGCCTTCCTCTGTAACCTGTTGTAGTGTCCCGCAAATTCTCCTAAAATAATACAGTTGAGTCAAAACTAAGTTAGGCTCCTGAAAGTCCAGGGCTATTTCCACTAAACCGTGTAATTCTACCGCTGGCTGCTAAAAGCATCTGTTTATCATTGGCGGGGTTCCCTGAGCTCTTGTCTTCTTTACTTGGTGTTTAGTTGGAGAACTGATAAGTCTACACACTAATAAATAGCTGGTACAGGGGCAATGTACTAGTGAAGGATCTCTCAGCGTTGCCGTTTCACAGACTGACAAAACAGGAAGGGAGTTGTAGGAAGGAGTAATGCCGCCATGTTCGATTGGCCACAACTAGGATGCCAGAATCTTGTCCTGGGCATCCTCCGGATGCAATGCAACCCGGATTGATTCACCAGAAAAGACGCAGCCACAATGAGCATTGCATCGAGGGCCCGGATTATGATCGTGGTATGTTGCTAGGTCACACTCACAAGGGCTAAGCCTCAGCCTACTCTATTATCTCCGCTATTGCAACCCTCGAACGTTCTCTGCCAAAGAGCCAGGAGTGTACTTGAAGTAGGTTGTATTTCAAGATTAATTTCGTCACCCAGAAAAAATGTAAAAAGGCATGCAAGCTAGGGTGATGGAACAGACAAGAAGGCACTATTTAGGATAATATTGCAGATCTGAAGCGACTCGCACTTCCTTTCTGCTTTCCGACGCACGCAGAGTGTCAGTGGCTACAACGCTCCAAGGAAAGCTGTGCAATCCGTGAGGCCATAAAACTGTCCACTAATTCATCTTGGTGAAGCCTAGTGGCTAAGTCTTGAGCTGTTGAACGAAGAGACCGTCGAAAAACATTCTCGACGCAAGCAGAGACGCCGAAGCATCTCGCTGTGACAAGTTGGCACCTCCGTCCATTTGCATGAGATGCCCCTTGCTCTGCACCCACAAACTTCAACTCCAAAGGGTTCACCTGAGAGCTTCTTCAGGCCGTGTCTATATGCTTCAACCCGGCGGAACACTACGTTTGACTCCGTCCACATTTCGAAGGACGCTTTACCCACAAAGTGCCCTGTTGAAACCTGTAATCCTGCCAGGGCTCGCCCTACAGACAAAGAGCTTTCTAGTGTAGCGAAACAGATCAAACAGCCAGAAGGCACCCTCCTCATCGGCCGGCTAACTGAATTATCTAGACGCGCACACAGCCATCTTCGTCAGTAGAAAACCTCAGTGCTGCACAATACAGTCCAACCCTCGGGTGTCCGGATGCTCGTCGGCCTCCGACTAAGACATTATGTGCAGTCCAAGCCCCGGCGCTTAGAAAAAAACCCAGAGGCGCTGAGACCGTTGCAGCGTCTTAGGGTTATGTCAAGCTCAAAACTAAGGCAGTTCAGCTCGCAAAGGAATCCGACAGTCGGGAAAATCGTCTGAGCTCGTGACCAAGGAGTTGCGGAATCCTGTTGCTCTACGATAGCCATTTTAGCGAGGCACATGATGCATATGAGGAGCAGGCCCTTGCGATGCACTGCCCTACACCCCACGCGGCGGTACATTACATGTTGAAGCCGACAACGAGAGGGGATCCCTATCACTCGTAAACTGGTGCTAGCTATAGCGTTCGGAACTGGCGTCGATTATCGTACATGATGCTTGCATTGCCGGATTCAGCAGAAAGCGAATGGCGGCTTAGAGGGAGGCTAGCAACGGGCAATGCGGGGAGCCAGACACACCACGTGCAGGCAGGGGTGGTGCTCTGCAGCCTACCCCGACAGCCCTCCGTTTTTCGTATCTCATGTTTCCCACCCCAAATACACCAGCAGGCAACATCTGTGTCACGACGCCAACAATGCATTTTCATCAAAGGTGAACCACCTAGAGGTACGCAAAAGCTCGATGCACGGGAATGTGCATTTTCTTCATCGTGAGCGCGCACGTCGTGCGTGTGGTGCAAGGCCCTCCTCTCGGGCTGCAGCCGTTACTGCGCTGTTTTCTTACAGCCCTTCCAGTTGGCTGTCAGAGAAAGCAGAGCGAACTGGTGGACGCACTCAGCAAAGACCGCATATACCACCCCGGCTGGCTGGGGTATACAATGGGAAGGAACGGGCAATTGCCACGTCCCTTCCCCTTCTGGGGGATAGATCTTCCTCAGCTCGCTCCGCATGCGTCGAACTCGAGTCGCTCATTCCGCCTCTTTTCCTATTAAGCACAAATTGCGGGCCTGCAGTCTCTTTTCACGTCACGCCTTGATGGCTCGCGAGGACAGCGTCGTAAAGTACTGCAAGATGCTGTGCGCCTTGGTTGCCACATTGTAATCCGGAAAGTAGCGCATGCGCGCCAGCTTTATGTCTCCCTGAAGCGCATCCAACAAGGCATTTGCAGAGGAAGCACAAGCTCGCCAAGCCAGCCAACGCAGAGCGCCACGACCAAACGTCGCAGACGGTGATCCGTGTGATTTTTGCGGGAATCGTCAAGACAGCGAACACCCCACTACTACCATCCACGCGACCAGCTACACGCATGTCGCAGACGCCTCTGCAGACAAGAGACGTGCCTCCCTCCTTCTATTCAAGAAGGAGCCCCTCGCTCACAACAAACCGTGCAGCACCCGCCCCTCGCAACTATCCCTCCCGCCGGAAGCAGCGGAGAGAACATCCTTCTCCCATCTCTCCGAGGACGGAGAAGAATGCGTTTTTCGCAACAGTAGGGTGCACTCCTCCCCTGTCCCCCCCACGCACTCGACGCTCCCCCTTCCCCCTCACCCACCTGAACTGCCTGGAAAAGCCGTGCATACGGGTTCTCCGGCAAATCCAAGGATTTGCCTTCTTGCACGCCAACCTCAAGGATGTTTTCCAAGCCCCTCAAGATGGCCTTGCACAGCTTGAGGCTGCCGCTGTTCGAAGGGTCACTCTGCGACACGAGCTCCAGCATGTCTGCAATGAGATGGAGGCAAGGGTTCGAACCAGTGAGGGATAGCACGCACGGCTCGTCCGGCTCGTGTGCAAAGTAGACGCGAGAGGATCCACGACCTCGTTCAACGAAGGAAGGTGCTCGTGTAGTGCAACAGACAATGACTCCCACTTGCTGCGGACTCGCCCTCGAGAGGCACGCGCACACCGCATAAGCCGCCTCAATGCGCGTGTTGTAGTCAGGATCGACTTGAAAGATCTCCAGAAGCAAGGGGAAAGCCTGAGTGTCGATGATGGCCTGTACAGACGCACGCGCGCACAGGAGCAGCAAGCGACGGCAGTGCACAAGCCAAGCCCTGATTTGCGAGCAGGCAAGCAGCAAATGGAGTATAGCAGGCAACCATAGGAGCCGCGCTTGCAAGTATACATGAATCTATGCAGAAATGTATGGATGCATGCGCTTATATACATACATGTATCTATATACATATGTATGGATGTATGGATGCGCCCATACATGTATATATATACATATGTGGAGTATGCGCCATAGCCAGTGCATAGAGATATATATATACATAGCGTCTAAAAGTTTTCTTCGAGATCCCGTCAGAACACGATTTGGGAGCTGCGTTGAGCTCGTGTTTCCTTGTCGCGCATGAGCGAATTTTTTCCTGGCGTGTGCGTTTTGTTGAATCGTGGCTTTTGTTGAATCGTTTGCTCCGCAGTGTTGCCGTGAGTATGTTGAGCGTACCTGAACTTGCGTGGGAGTTTCGCAGCCGAGGTTACCGATGGTGTTGCATGCCCTGGCCCTGGCCATGGGGCTGGCGACGGCTGGATCAGTGAGCACTTGAACCATGGTGCTAACCGTGCCCATTCCGATGACTTGATCGATCTGTTGTGTTGTTCCTATGAAGGCGATGCGTGCAGCGATGGAAAGCGCATCGAAAACTACCGCTTCATCGGGGTGGCACAAGAGTTTCATGATGTGTGGCATGGCCATGGCTTCGAGGACGGCGGCGACGCCCTCCGGACTGTCGCAGAGTGTCACGCATGCATTGCACGCCAAGGAGAGGCTGGTGGGATCTTCAGACTCCGCCATGACACGCACCAGAAACTTGAGGACGGCGATCTTCATGTCGGCTGCG